ATTGTTCCCTTTGAGGTTGGGAGATCTTGGAGTTCCAGCTGTTCAAGAATGTCAGTGCCACATGTCTGGAAATTTTCTTGAACTATAGTATGGGGCAGAATGACGGTACCACTACAAGAATTGAGGGAATGATGTTTTTCAAGAGTGACAGGAACAGTATCGATATGGGAAAGACGAGAGAGCTCATGAGCCTAGGTAGCATTCTGTACGGTAATGATGCGCGCACCGCTCTTAAGAGCATGAAAAGAAATATCTTCACCAACATGGCGTAGGAGTGCCTTGCCAATACTGTGGTCAGAAAGATAGGCAGTAGAGGAAGTCGGTCGTAAAGTGAAGAATTTAGTCCATTGTTCAGTCTGAAACTGAGCGTGGAAAGGTAGTGAAGGACGTGTCGATCTTTTCTGAGAAGAACGAGAAGGTGGAGAAGTATCATCAGCAGGTAACTGTCATTGGCGTTTAGGCGTGGCACCACCACCACCCCCGGAATCCGAAAGGTGGCTTCCAGAGATACACCCGTCGCCTGAAAGACACCCAAAGCTACTCCGGGATACCGGAGAGGGATCGGGACATCCCCAGGCGATCCAGATTCCACGGAAAACTAAGCCACTGCCAAGAACCTCAACGGAATGGAATAGACCCCGGTATCCTTTCCCCTACCTAGGAACTAGCGAGCCTGTGGGAGAAATCCCAAAGGCCAAAAAGAGGAAGGGCAAAAGGGAGGGGTGGGGAGGAGGAGGAGGAAAGGAAAAAGGGGAGGATGGGGAGGATGGGATAGGGGAGGGGAGATTGGGGGGTAATTAGGTTCGGTCTGAGGAAGAAGACCGACAGGTCTAATTCCTCAGACCAAGAGCCTCTTCACCACGCCAAGGAGCCCCCCTTGAAGAGGATCTCTTCCCAAACTATTCCACTTACTGACTACTCTGTGGCTGAAGAAATACTTCCAAACATCCCTGTGATTCATCTGTGTCTTCAGCTTCCAACTGTGTCCCATCTCTGGAACATTCTGTCTTTGTCCACCTTGACAATTCCCCTCAGTATTTTGTATGTCATTATCACGTCCCCCGTATCTCTCCTGTCCTCCAGTGTCATCAGGTCGATTTCCCTTAACCTCTCCTCGTAGGACATACCCCTTAGCTGGGAACTAGTCTTGTTGCAAACCTTTGCACTTTCTCTAGTTTCTTTACGTGCTTGTCTAGGTGTGGGTTCTAAACTGGTGCCGCATACACCAATATGGGCCTAACGTACATGGTGTACAGGGTCCTGAACGATTCCTTATTAAGATGTTGGAATGCTGTTCTGAGGTTTGCTAGGTGCTCATATGCTGCAGCAGTTATTTGGTTGATGTGTGCCTCAGGAGATGTGCCTGGTGTTATACTCACCCCAAGATCTTTTTCCTTGAGTGAGGTTTGTAGTCTCTGGCCCCCCTAGACTGTTACTCCGTCTGCTGTCTTCTTTGTCCTTCCCCAATCTTCATGACTTTGCAATTGGTGGGGTTGAACTCCAGGAGCCAATTGCTGGACCAGGTCTGTAACCTATCCAAATCCCTTTGTAGTTCTGCCTGGTCTTCGATCGAATGAATTCTTCTCACCAACTTCACATCATCTGCAAACAGGGACACTTCGGAGTCTATTCCTTCCATCATGTCGCTCACAAATACCAGAAACAGCACTGGTCCTAGGACTGACCCCTGTAGGACCCCGCTGGTCACAGGCACCCACTCTGACACCTCGCCACGTACCATGACTTGCTGCTCTCTTCCTGACAAGTATTCCCTGATCCATTGTAGTGCCTTCCCTGTTATCCCTGCCTGGTCCTCCAGTTTTTGCACTAATCTCTTGTGTGGAACTATGTCAAATGCCTTCTTACAGCCCAAGAAAATGCAATCTACCCACCCTTCTCTCTCTTGTCTTACTGCTGTCACCCTGTCATAGAACTCCACTAGGTTTGTGACACAGGATTTACCGTCCCTGAAACCATATTGGCTGCTGTTGAAGAGATCATTCCTTTCTAGGTGTTCTACCACTCTTCTCCTGATAATCTTCTCCATGACTTTGCATACTATACATGTCAGTGACACTGGTCTGTAGTTTAGTGTTTCATGTCTGTCTCCTTTTTTTAAAGATTGGGACTACATTTGTTGTCTTCCATGCCTCGGGCAATCTCCCTGTTTCGATAGATGTATTGAATATTGTTGTTAGGGGTACACATAGCACCTCTGCTCCCTCTCTCAGGACCCATGGAGAGATGTTATCCGGCCCCATTGCCTTTGAGGTATCTAACTCACTCAGAACCCTTTTCACTTCTTCGTCGGTTGTGTGCACCGTGTCCAGCACTTGGTGGTGTACCCCACCTCTCCGTCTTTCTGGAGCCCCTTCTGTCTCCTCTGTGAACACTTCCTTGAATCTCATGATGAGTTCCTCACATACTTCACGGTTGTTTCATTGTCTGTCTCTCTCTGTCACAGGTACACAAATACAATTATACATAGTGTAAATTACCTAGGATAACCCAAAAAATCCACACTGGCAAATACTAAGAATCAGACTCAGATGTGACTACTGCATTGAGTGTAAAACGTGTTGGTTCACTAGTGTCTCTGAGACAGAGACAGAAAGAGAAGCAGGCAGACAGATAGACAGAAAGAGAGAGAAGCAGACAGATAGACAAACATGTTTATGTGTAAAGTGAAAACAAATAAAGGGAAGGCAGTGTACCCTCATCAAATGTCACCACTCTAATTAGTGGAGAGATAAGATAAGACAAGACGCCCCTCATCAATGTCAACACTCTTATTAGTGGATAGATGAGATAAGACGCCCCTCCTCAAATGTCAACACTCTCATTAGTGGAGAGAGAAGACAATGACGCACTCTCTTACACCAAACTTCAATTATTATTATTATTATTATATTGTCCATGTATCCTAAGTAATTTACATTATGTATAATTGTATTTATATGTACCTGTGAGACAGAGACAGAGACAGACAATGACAGACAGACAGCCAGCCAGCCGCCTGCCAGCCATGTTTACACAAACCCACACTCCCTTCCCCACCACAATATTGCTGGGACCTATAAATACTATGCATATATTTCTAGGCAACAGTATGTGACTAAAATAGGTGAAAATGTTCACCTGTCAATGTTTGTGCAGTTATTGCGTACTCACCTAATTGTACTCACTCAATGGTAGTTGCAGGGGTTGAGACTCAGCTCCTGGCCCCGCCTCTTCACCGATTGCTACTAGGTCCTCACTCTCCCTGCTCCATGTGTAGCATACAATGAGTGTATATATCCAAAACATGGCTTATATTGGTCTCACAGGTCATAAAAGTTACTTGAAAAAATAAAATGTTAAAAATTAAAAGAAAAACATAGGAAAAAAAAAACTATTTCCACGTGACTGGCAGTCGGCAATGCTGTAAATGGCTCACTTTGTCAACTTCAAGCCTCCATATCTCGGTAAGTATTCATCACAATTTTTTTTTTTTTGGCCTATAATACTCGCAAAAATATGTTCTATCATTTCAGAAAAAATATTTTTTTTTTTTCAAAAATTTTCTGACCCTGAGAACAAGATTGGGAGAGGGCCTGCCAACCCTGAAAGGATTAAACTGTCCAAGCGTAGATCTACGTTTATGCGCGTAGCACTCTGACCTTGATTTTCTCCATAAGAAAGCATGTAAAAAAAAGAGTAGATCTACGTTCAGAGCGCTATGTGAGCAAACATAGATCTATGTACGTTTGAACAGTTTAAAGGTTAAATATATTTAGAGAAGACCCAACATGGGCTGCTGTTAGATTATAAAAGCACATTAACTGGAAAATATGCATACTAGTAACACTAAGATACAACAAAGTCAAATGGCTGATAACAATGAACTATATCTTAAACTTACACTTTCTTTTTCTTTTTATAACTTCTATCACTATCTGAACTAATTTCCTCTTCCTCTTCACTGGAGCTCTGTCTTCGTCTTTTCTTTTTCTTGTTTTTCTGTTTTTTAGAACATCTCTCTTCCATTTCACTATCTGCAAAAAAACAAAGTGATAAATTTAATATGTTCTACATCATTAAAAATTTAAAAAATGTACAATGAGAAGGCAAATATCTTCATTAATCTGATGTAAGAGGAGTTCAAATAAATATCAGAATAGATGAGGCTTGTACCCATGGCACGATGAGGCTTGTACCCATGGCACGAGTCCAAAACTCACAGGCCAATGTGTTAACCACTTGGCCAGCTGACTCTAAGATTCACCCAACTAGGTATTTCCATACATTATAGGGAGATTAACAGGTTTCCCACTGAGAGTGGAGTGCATTAAGAGCCAAAGTTGGTCCCGTAATACTACGCCAAAATTCTAGCTCCTTCAAATTTGGTAGGTCTACATATGAAAGAATGGGTCTGCATAGTCAGTATGCACAGTATAAAAAAATCCTGCAGCGCACAGTGCATAATGAGAAAAAAAACTGAACGTTTTTGGTTTAAAACAGCAATTTCGCAGTGTATTTTCATATGGTATTTATGGTTGCATTCTCGTTTTCTTGGTCTCATTTAATAGAATGGATGATATATTACAGAAATAGAGATGATTTTGATTGGTTTCACAATGTACCTTGAAATTGAGCTCAAAGTAGCAGAAATGTTTGATTTTTGCTTATGTTCAAGAGTAAACAAATGACGTTGCCGTCCAATACGTGTCCTACTGGCCAGTCTAATACGCAGTAACGAATGGGTTGACATTATTTATACAATTATTATAATAATGCAGTAGTCTGCATAACAGTAAATCTTCTATTTTTTGTAAGAATAAAAATTCAAAATGGAATGCAAGAGTAATATAAGAGGGACCTGGAGACATGACTAATGAACAGAGAAAATGTTATTTTAGTGCCAGGAATGCCTGCCCTGTTTATTCTGGACCCTATTTAGAAATTAGCATATTTTGAAAGTGGCCAAATTGCCAATTTCTGACCACTTTATTGGGTTGTTAAAATTGGTAAATGGGCAGTTTCTTGTACTCAATTGATAGAACAAATGGAGTTCTAAAGAAATAGCTATGAGTTTGGTGGACTGGAACAATGGAATTGTCCGAAAATAGGGCTCAAATTTGGCAAAATCGCTGATGCATAAATGTCGCCGAGGTCACTAACTTCACTAGAGTGTAATTTTGTAAGTTTTCCATCAAATTTCGTACTTTTGGTGTCATTACCATTGGGAAAAGATTCTCTATCATTTCATGAGAAATTATTTTTTTTTTAAATTTTTCAACACAGTGAGTTAACCCTTAACCCTTTGAGGGTCCGTCCCATAGATCTACGGCTTTACGTTCTGGGTCCAAACCGTAGATCTACGTAATGAGCTCAGCTCACTCTGATTTATTTATTTATTTATTTATAATTTGAGCACACTTACAGAGGTACAAAAAAAAATACAGATAAGAGCAGCATGCCAAAGCCACTTATACTATGCATAGCATTACGGGCTGGCTTAAAATTAACTTAAGATTAACTAAGCAATGATGAAATCAGTGAAAAACATTAATGTAAACTGATTACTATAAAGCACAAGTGAGTATTACAAAGACAGGTCATATGGTTGCATGCATTGTTGTAAATTCAGTAGAATGGAGTATTCTGTTAGGTAGTGAATTTAAAAAATAATAAAGTTAGATTGGGTTTTAAGGTTTAACATTTATGTGATTATAATTGTGAGAAACATTTAAGATATTAACAATTTATAAGGTTTTCAGTTATTCAGTATTTATTTGGTTTTGGGTGAGTAAGTGATCTTTGAGAAGAGACTTGAATTTATAAACAGGTAGTGTTCTTTTATATTTTACAGGTAATGAATTCCAGTTTTTTAGGGCCTTTTTATGTGCTTTGAGTTTTTGCATAGCGTGAGATGGACACGAGGAATATCAAAGAGTGATCTGTGCCTTGTGTTATGGTCATGTGTTCTGTTGAGGTTGGCAAGGGAGTTTGAGGGGAGGGTTAATATCAGAGTTGAGTGTTCTATGTATTAATAGTGCAGTAATAAGTAGGGAAAGTTTTGTAGGGTGAGTAGGTTGAGTGTATTGAATATTGGTGGAGTGTGCTGCCTGTAGTGAGAATTTGTTATCATTCTAACTGCACAGCCTTTTGTTGGGTAATTAGTGGTCTGAGTGGTTACTTGTTGTTGAGCCCCATGCACAAATTCCATAGGTGAGATAGGGGTAAATAAGAGAGTGATATAGGGCCAGGAGGGTGACTGTGGAGCATAGTACCGTATCTTGATAGTATGCCTACAGTCTTGGAAATTTTCTTAGAAATTTGTTGTATATGTGTATGAAATTTGAGTCTATTATCAAGGTGGATTCCTAAAAAATTTTCCCTCTGTTAGCTTTGTGATAGGTGATCCGTTTATCATTATGTTAAGAGGGACATCTGTAGCTCTGTTCCCAAACTGAATAAAGTAGGTTTTGTCAATTTTTTAGTGTAAGTTTGTTAGTACTCATCCAGGTAGAATTTTCTGTAATTCGGTATTTACAGTATTGGCTAGCGTGACTGGGCTCGGGTGGGAGAAGACGTATGTTGTGTCATCAGCAAAATAGTGTGGGTTTGAGTAATTGAGAAGCATTTGGTAGGTCATTTATGTATAGGAGAAAGAAGAGGGCCAAGGACACTTCCCTGTGGGACACCAACTGTAATTGGTTGTGCAGAAGAGTTTGCCCCATTTGCGTACACATATGGCTTCTGTTGCGAGGTATGACTTGAGGTAGTTGAGGGAGTGCCCTCTTATACCATAGTGTGATAATTTTACGTGGAGCAAGTCATGGTCAACTGTATCAAAAGCTTTACGTAAGTCAATAAAGATCCCCAGTGGGACTTCTTTTTTCTCTATTGCAGTGTATATATGTTCTAGCATGTGTATAATAGCATCATTAGTATTTTTATTAGGCCTGAATCCAAATTGGAGGGGTTGAGTATGTTTTGGGAGATAAGGTAGGAGTAGATTCGTTTATGAATTAATTTTTCGAAGATTTTTGAGAGAGGGTGTAAGTTGGATATTGGCCCTATAGTTATCAACTCTGTTTGGTCTCCTCCTTTGTGGATCGGGGTTTGACCCTTGCTATTTTGAGTACGTAGGGAAGGTGGAGGATTCAATGGATTTGTTAAAGAGTGTTCAATGTTTGGTGATAGCACTTTGTGACACTTTTTTGTATTTTAAAGGGTGGTAAGGTATTTAAATCTCCTGCCTTGTTTTTTAGTGCGTTGATAATAAGGGAGACTTCGTATGGGTTAGTCGGAGCTAGGAACAGTTGTGTTCGGGTAGTTGCCGGTGGGGTAGTCATTTGTGGGGTATCTGAGCTTGGGATTTTATTGGCAAGGTTTGTCCTATAGTGGAGAAGAAATCATTGAGTCTGTTTTGCTGTTTCTGTTGGTGGGAGTTGGGGTTCATCTGATTTTGCTAATTTTATTTCGCTATTTCGTGATATCTTTTTTGTTCCCAGAATTTCTGATAGGGTTTTCCGGGTCTTTTTTATATCACCTCGTAAGTTGGATAATCTTTTTCTCATAATAAATTTTTTTGCCCTTCTTATCAGGCTGGTTAGGATTGACGAGTAACGTTTTGTTGGTCTCTTTATGTGACCCATTCTGTACTGTTTTTCATATTGGTGTTTTGTATTTATGGATTTGAGAATGCTGGGTGTTAGCCAGGGACTGTTCAGCCCTCTTAGCTGTCATCTGCTTAGTTTTTTTAGGGCAGTGCTTTTTTATAGAGGTATTGAGTTTTTTTTAGAAAATTATTAATACATTCGTCATATCTGTATTGATTTCTAGCTCAGTGTGCCAATCAATGTTTGCTAATGCTGTTGTGAGTTATTAATGGCTCCCCAAATTTTTGAAGTCTGAGGTGATTTAGTAGTGTCTTGGGGAAAATTTACCAAGAGTTGTTATGAGGAAAGTAGGGTAGTGGTCTGTGGTATTATCTTAATTATGCCTGTTTTTAAAGGGGATATGGTGTTGGTCCAGATGTGGTCAAGTAGGGAAACACTAGTCTCTGTAACTCTTGTAGGTTTTTGTTACTGTTGGTAGCAACATACAGTTACTCATTGTGTTTGTGAATTCAGTAACGTGTGGGTCCTGGTCTTGCAGGAGATTTATATTGAAGTCACCTGAGAGTATAAGTGATCTTTGTTCATGCGTGCATCAGTTATCATACTTCCTGGTTTTGACTAAATTGGCTAATGTTTGACTGGTGGAAAATCTGTAGATGTTTATCAATGTGAGAGGTTTTCGTAGGTATTTGGATTTGAAATTTGGGTATTATATATTCCCCATGTTCATCTCTTGTGCAAGTATTAGTGATTACATTCTAGTTTTGGGCTGAGTATATATGGGGTGTGCCACCCCTTGTTGGGGCTGGCCTACAGTTGTGTATGGCTGTGTAACCAGGGAAAGGTATAGACATCTGTAGTATCAGGCTTTAGCCAGGGTTTTAGTTAGTGTAATGATGGACATATTGGCAATGTAAGGAATTTTGTAATGCTATGAGGTCATCGTAATGCTTGCTTAAAAATCTGATATTGTAGTTAAAGATAGTTATGTTGTTGTTTGGGACTGAGAAGTGCCTTTGATTGTTCTGCAGTGTAGTAATTACAGTAACTGTTTGATTCATTTAAGTCATTAAATAAGAGGTTGGTATCTGGATCAATGCTTTTTAATCATAAGATTTGTAGTGAATCTATAGTTAGAATTAAGTAAAAAACAAAGTAATAGTCTTAAGCTAAAAAATAGCACCTGAATTATTTAACAAATGTAAAATAATGAGCTAAGGTAGTTTTTTTTTTTTTTTTTTTTTTTTTAAGCTAAAATAAAGGAGACAATATAAAGGGACTAGTACAAATAAAGTGATGATCAAATAATGGAGCTTGGGAATGAAAAGTAGGTAGTACTATAAAATAAATGAGCTTTGGAATATAATGCAAAATTGTGAACTTGTTCTACTTTAGCACCTGAGAATAGCACCTTGATTATTTTAACA